TAGTCAACGAAGGGTCACGCGTTCAGTGTGGAGTGAGTGGGCAGAACCAGGCATCTGTCTCTGGGAGCACTTGGTCCCACGCAGGCAGAGAACGCCTACGTTTGCGGTCAGGGAAACTCCATAAAATATCTTCGTCTAGTCACTTCTGCCCCGAACGTTCACTGAGTCATTTCTCGCTGCAGGAAGAGCTCTCTGAGGCACAGGCAGGCATTTTCCCCGCCATGTCCTCGCACTAAGGGGAGACTAGCTCTGCCTCGAAGTAGCCCAACTGCTACTGAGAGAGGTGCCATGGCTGACAAGGCCCAGTGTAGCTGGGAGCCAACCACTCCGATCCAAACACCAAGCTGCATTAATTCACGAGCAAGGAAGAAAAGGTTTCAGAACCAAACAATAAGTCAACAAGTGGGAATGACTTGAGGGTGTCAGGCACCAGCCAGGGCAGGCAGTGGCTGCCAGCAGCCAGAGGCATCCCAGGCTGCCCTCTTGTGCAGGTGTGGGAGTGTCGGGGGAAGCCAGGGAAGCTTCACTGTGTTGCTGGCACTGTGACTCCAAATTAGGACCAAATTAGAACAACCAGAGGCTGGAGCGGGCGGGATGGGGCATGGCATGCAGCTGGGTTACAAGGCCGGGACAAAAGGGGAAGCCCAGGGGCAGTGGCCAGCCAGTCATAGGAAGTGTCTCTAAGGGAAGCCGCCATTTCTGAACCACGCTGGTCCACAGAGGAAAGGGGCTGCCCTAGAAGGCCTGTCCCTAAGTTTGGGTTCGTGATTGGGAAAAACAGGCCGAGACAAGACCGGCTTTGTGTGGGGCTTCGGGACTGGTTCTCTGGTGTGCCCCATGGCTCTAGAGCCTGGAAGAAGGGGAGACCCCCCCAGGATCTGGCATAGGATCAATTTTAGGGAGATGGGCTTCTCTCTCTGACAGCCTATGGGTGCTTTTCCTTTGAGCTACACACCAGCCAAAACTGGTTCTCTCCTTCCTGCCAGAGCACTGTAGGCCTGGAGTGGAGGAGCCGCTCTCCTCCCTCTGACAGAGCTTACAGCACAAGGCAGAGGGGAGTGGAGTATGCAGAGTGTGAGACACAGGATGGGCTGCTGGCTGCCACCCCAGCCTCTGGGTGAACAGGCTGCTGGTCTGTTGATGATTATCAATGACAGTTTTCTGACAGGGTTATAAATCACTAGCACATGTGCATCGTTAGGTAACGCAGTTTTGTTTGGAGTCAAGCAAGTAAAGCCCTGGCTGGAGATTGAGTGCCATCCTGGAAACCGCAAGGCACAGGTTCGATTCCCAGTCAGGGCACATGCCTGGGTTGCGGGTCTGGTCTCCAGTAGGGGGCACATGAGAGGCAATCACACATTAATGTTTCTCTCCCTTTCTCCCTCCTTTCCCCTCTGTCTATAAATAAATAATTTTTAAATGTATTTTTTAAAGCAAAATCCATCAGTGACAGCAGGCAATAGAGAAACTGTACACCAATACCACATATGAACACAAGCACCAAAATTCTACACTAAATATTAGTAAATTGAATCTAGAAGTATTATGTCACCTAGGAGTGCATATATATATATGCGCGCGTGTGTGTGTGTATACGTATCACAGAAACTTTTTTAAGAAACTTTTTAAAAAGATTTATTTATCTTTAGAGAGAGGGGAAGGGAGAAAGAAAGTAGGAGAGAAACATCAATGTGTGGTTGGTGCCTCTCACATGCCCCCTTCTGGGGACCTGGCCCAAAATCCAGGCATGTGCCCTGACTGGGAAAGGAACGTGACTGTTTGGTTTGCAGGCCGGTGCTCAATCCACTGAGCTACACTAGCCAGAGCGTGTGTGTGTGTGTGTGTGTGTGTGTGTGTGTATATATATTTATATATATATATATATATATATGAACCAGCAACTGTTGGGTTCACAGGCAGGCACTCAATCCACTAAGCCACACCAGCCAGGGCATGAGCTATCTTTTTTAAAAAACTATAGCAGCCCTGGCTGGTGTGGCTCAGTGGACTGAGCACTGGCCTACAAACCAGAACATCGTGGTTTCCATTCCCAGTCAGGGCACATGCCTGGGTTGTGGGCTGGGCCCCAGTTGGGGGCGTGCAAAGGAAAACCAATATATCTCTGTCATATTGCTTTTTCTCTTCCTCTCTTTGTTTTTTTTTTAAGATTTTATTTATTTGTTTTTAGAGAGGGGAAGGGAGGGAGAGAAACATCAATGTGTGATTGCCTCTTGCATGCCCCTTACAGGGGACCTGGCCCACAACCCAGGCATGTTCCCTGACTGGGAATCCAACCAGTGACCCTTTCACTCATAGGCCAGCACTTAATCCACTGAGCCACACCAGCCAGGGCTCTCCCCCTCTCTTTAATAATAATAATAATGATGATGATGATGATGATGATGATGATGAAAGGAAACTTACCTAATCTGGTGAAGGAAATAGACATGCAAGTCCAGGAAGCACAGAGTCCCACACAAGATGGATGCAAAGATGTCCACTCCAAGACACAGCCTAACTGAAATGCCAAAGGTTAAAGATAAAAAGTCTTAAAAGCAGTAAGAGGAAAGCAGTTAATTACCCACAAAGCATTTCCCAATGACTGTCAGCTGATTTCTCAAAAGGAACTTTGCAGGCTAGAAGGAATTGGCAAGAAACATTCAAAGTCATGAAGAGCAGGGACCTACAACCAAGATTGCTCTACCTAGCAAAGATATCATTTAGAATTGAAAGGCAGACAAAGAGCTTCCCAGACAAGAAAAAACTAAAGGAGTTCACCACCACCTAACCATTATTATGTGAAATGTTAAAGGGACTTATTTAAGAAAAAGAAGATCAAAACTATGAACAATCAAATGGCAATAAATACATATCTATCAACAGTTGAATCTAAAAACTAAGCAAACTAAGCAAAGAAGAGGTGAATCAGGGAGAGTGTTTTAATGCTTGCCAGGTGAGGGAGCGTGTAGGGGAATGGGTGAAGAGGTGAAGGGATTCAGAAGTAAAAATGGGTAGTTAAAGAATAGCCACAGGAATGTAGAGTACAGGACAGGAAATGGAGTGGCCAAAGAACTTATACTCATGACCCATGGACATGAACAATGGTTTGGGATTGCCTGAGGGAGTGGGCGGTGCTGCGTGGGGAGAGCAAAGTGGAAAAAATTGGGACAATTGTAGTAGCATAATCAATAAAATATAACTAACAAGAAATCAAGCATGTTTTTGGTAAACCAAATATTGAGCCTTTCCCAAGGAGGACCTTAAACAACATCACCACCAATTTCTCTGTGTTTCTCGCCATGGAAATCTTCAGTGAAAGATGAAAGGTTTGTTCTCCTTGAAGAGAAACCAGACCCAGATGCTCCTGCTGAGCCCATCCTCCCCGATACCACTGGCCCCCAACACCTGGGGTGTCTTTGCATCTACCAACAAAAGCTCTTCAAAAATAAATCTTTACTGCCACTGTACAGAAGCATCCCAAGCATGTTCTTACTGGGAAAAGTCTCCTGGCCCGGAGTTCTGCCCAGTGTGGCTCAGCCGGCTGGGCTTCATCCTGCACCCTGAACAGCGGCAGCTGCGATTCCCCTCCGGGCACAGGCCTGGGGGCTCAGGCTCGGTCCCCGGTGGGTGCGCATGCGCACTGGAGGCAGCCGAGCAGATCCCTGTATCCCTCTCACATCGGTGTTTCTCTCCCTCTTCCTCCCTCCCTTCCCCTCTGGCTAAAAAATAAAATCTTTTTTTAAAATCTCCTGACAAGGAAATAGAAGGTTAATTTTCATTATTCAATAATAATACTTTTCATAGAGTAGTATGCCTTGGATTCGGGTATGCAAACGAGCTACTCAGGGAAACAAGAACTCTTCCCAAGTCCGGCCTCCCCAGGAGGAAGTGGAGAGATCCGTCCCACTGGGCTCCTCTAGTGGGGACGGCACGTTTTTTAAGTCCTGTGGCCTTGTAGCGAGCCTGTGTGTTTAGAGTGACATCTACCGCGGGTGTGTACCACCAGGTACTATCACAGTAGCACCTCACCCTGCCCCATGCTAGCTCCGCCTCTCTGTGGTTCCTCTCTCCGTCCAAAAATATTCAGTCCCCTCACCTTCCCAGGCGCTCCCACAGCCCCTCAGCCCCTTCAAGCTCTTGTTACCACACTGTGCCCCTGGCACCGCAGAAAACTGTATTCTGCAGGCTGAGTGAACGTGGGAAGGAATGAATAACTAGAAAGTATCTACAGAAAATCCCTTTAATAAATCTGAATTGCCTCCTCCATCCCAACCAAATCTTTTCTTCCTTTTGCTTCCACCACTTCCTAGCTGTGTTTCCTCAGGCAAAGCATTGCACCTCTCTGAGCCTCATTCCCGGGCATGTGAAATGGGGTGACAGTCACAGTGTAAATGCAAAGGGACCTCTGCCCTCAGCACAGAGCCAAGGCAACGAAGGACTCAGGAACGGCTCACCAGGAACTAAAGATTCTCCAAACTGTGTCTGCCTTGCTTCCACCCCATCCCATTTCTGCCACGCATCCCCCACCACTTTCTTTGTCACCCTCTCTCCCCTTGTCTTTCCCACCCTTGTCTCCCTTTGAAAACCCCGCCCTTCCCTCCTCCACACATCCTTCGGGATTCCTCCAGTCCCAGGGTGGCCCCACTTCTGTGGCCTCCAGCTCTGACAGCCTCTAGGCCTCCCTGATGGGTGGACTCACCCCCCAACCCTCCCTACTCTAGCTGTTGCTGACTGGAGTTGGGTGGAGGCTTGTCCTCCTCCTCCTCTATAACCAAGAGCTCCGAGAGGGCAGGACTGAGGTGTGTCCCCTGTCCCCCCCTCCCCCGACCCCACACACACACCCCTTGTGCAGTGCTGGCCAATTAAAGGTCAGGAAAGGTGGATGAAGAGGTTGGGGGTAAAGGGAAGAGACTTGGTTGAAGGGGCTCTTTGCTGCTTTGGTGAGGTGGAGAGTGTTGGAGCTGCGGGCTTCTTTCTCCATGGCCTCTGCCCTTCCCCAGCCATCAAGCTGATCAAGGACCTGGTCAACTACGACGTGTGTGCCCCGCTGCTCAAGGGCCTTGTGGACCTGCTGATACCATCCGTCAAGGAGACTTGCAAACTGCAGCCCAAGATCCTCAATGGTAGGGATCCACTGGGACTTCGGGGAAAGGCACCCCTCAAGGGGAGGGGCCCCTGCCTCACAGTCTCCCCTCCACCAGACTCTACGGTCCTCCAGCTCACCGCCCACCTGCCGGTGTTTCTGCAGCAGGCCGCAGCTGCCAAGGCCATCAGGTAAACGGTCAGGGGGCAGTGGGTGGATGGAGCAAGGAGGCCTGGGAGCGATCTGGCCAGCGGCACCAGAGAAGACCCAGGGGTCGCTGCAGCTTGAATCACCGGCCCAGGGTCCTGGCGCACAGCAACTTGAGCTTAGCGGAGGAGATGCTACACCTGCGTGTGGTGCCCAGCCTGATGGCCGCCATGGGCAACACGGACCACAGCAACAGCCAGCAACAGGCCAGCCTCGCGCTGGAGGTGCGCAGGCGGCGGCTGGTGGGGCGGTGGGAACCGGGCATGGGCACCCAGTCACTCCACCGGCCTGTCGCAGTTCTTCGTGCAGACATTCCCAGTGGTGGAGGAGCAGGTGCGCAGGTCCATGGGAGAGGAGCTCTACAAGCTCTTCCTTGTAAGTGCACCCACCCCGCCGCGCCCGCCACAAAGAGCAGCTGGCCAAAACAGAATGGTGACCCCACACCGGCCCACACAGTTTGGGCCTGGTGGCCAGCTGCAGGGAAGGACCGCCTGGCTTGGGCTCCGCCTGGCATCTTTCCCTTCCCTTTCCTACTCCTGCATGCAACATCCCTCTGCTCCATCCCACTCCAAACCCAGACTGCCCTGGCACCTCAGCCATGTCCCACTTCCTCCTGTCCTCAGAGCAACGCAGAGGACTTGTACATGAAAATGGATAGCGTTCAGGTGGACATCTTGGCAGCCAACAAAGTCAATGTTAGCAAAAGTGAGTGGGGAGTGAGGGGACCTGGAGCAGAGGTAAAGCCGGCCCAGACTCAGGCTCACCTCCCTGTTTCCAGCGGGCCCCTTGTACGGCAATAGGCACTTCGACTATGGCCTTGGTGATCAGGAGCAGCTGGACGACATCACTCACTCCCAAGAGGATAAGGAAGGAAAGGAGTGACACAGCCTCTGTGGCAAGCCGGGAAGGCCAAAGCCGTGTGGCAGAAAGTCCAGCGGAGGACCCTGAGGTCCATCTCAGGGCGCCTCCACTTGGCCCTCGGTGGGAGGGAGAGCTGCTAGCAGGGAAGAGCGCAATAAAGTCTTGCTATTCATCTGTTCTCTGTGTGTGAGGGGGGAAGAAGGTGCAGTGAGAGCGGGCCCGTCGGCGATCTAGTCTCCCATTACCTCTGAACCGTCTCCTACTTCTCCCTTTCTCCTTCACTGGCTGCAGGCATACTGGCTGTGTGTGTCTTCAAAGTGACAAACAAGCTCATGCCCTAGGACTTTTGTGCTGGCTTTTCTGCTGAACAATGACAGAGGTTCTTTTCCTAGAACCTCTCACCCAGATATCTACCTGCAGGGCTAACTCCCTTGTCTCCTTCCAACTCTACACAAAGTTAAGCCTTCTCGTTGAGGGCTGTTCTTTTTTTAAGTTGCAACCCACACTACATCCCTCTCGACACTATGGCCCCCAATCCCCCCCTTACACTGCAATTTTTTCCCCATGGTATTCATTTATTTGTTGTCTGTCTCTCCACCTGAATTTAAGCTCCACTAGGGCAAGAATAGACAGACACGTGTTAAAGATGAGATATATAGGTATAATATATATTTTTCCTTTACTGATATAATCCAAACATTGAGAACAATGCCTGGCATGCATGGATGAAGAATGGAGGTATTGTAAAAGAATTGTCCCTCAAATCAGTGAAAATGAAGTCAGCTAGCAGTAATTCTCCAGGATGCCACAAGAGGGCATCACCGGCCCTGCTACTGTCAGTCTAAGGCGGCTCCACCATCACCTAAACGAATTTTGAGCCTCAGCGCTGAGGAAGGAGAGAGAACTTAACAAAATAGTTATATATTTCCATAAAGCTAAATGGATTTCCTATTTTAAAGAATTGCCCTGACTGGTGTGGCTCAGTTGGTTGGGTGTAGTCCAGCAAAGCATAAAATGACACCTTTGATTCTCAGTTGGGGCACATGCCTCGGCTGCCAGTTCCATCCTAGATCGGGTCGCAGACTAGAGGCAATGGATGGAAAAACATCCATGTTTCTCTCCCTCTCTCCCTCCCCTTCTCTCTCTAAAAAAATTAATGAATAAAAAGCCAATAATTATATTTCTATTTTTACGCAGCCTTTTTTTTTTTTTTTTAAGCAGAGTTACACAAGTGCAACACTTGGTGACAGAGCCCCTGAGAAGCGGGCCTTGCCTGAGATGCTCAGATACTGCCTAGAAAAAATGTCTGTGAACAAATATGGCCAAGCTTGAACTTCAAAAGCTTTATTCAAGGCCTCAACAAAAATGTTAACAAGACATTCTATAGGTAGCAGACGTCTATTGGGCGACTACTCTGTGCCTGGCCCCGACCTAGGCACAGGAGACAGTTCAAGTTAATGCTTGCTGTGCGTGGTGGTTTCTAGCATGTGAACAGAAACCCGCAGACTTTGAAATGAAATGAATGTCTTTGAAGTTCTTTTCGTCTGTGTAGGTGCTTTTAAGTGAGGCTGTGGTTGGAACCTCTCCCAGAGCTGCTCCCTTCCTCTTCAAAGTGCGCTTATCCTCCTTCATCCACGTCAAGCATTACCACTCTAGCAAGAACATAGCAAGAACACAGGTTCAAAGGTACGTTCTCAGACTTCAACCAACGTTTTCTCTAAAAAAAACTTAGTAACAAGGGAACATAATACCGCTTATCATGAACTAGTAGAGTATCCACCCACTGTCTATTTATGCTGAGTTAGCAAGACTGCTTCGAAGCTGAAAAACTCTTAAAAGTTAAATGAGTGAAATCACAATCACTTTTTCTGATTCCTGGTAATTACTAGAACTTTTCATGTACAAATAATGGTACAAAACACTTAGTAAGTGTGCAATCTACTACACACCCACCTATCTCAATACCCCTATCCCACAGGAGCAAGTTCTAAGCCAAGCATTTTCTACTTTTTGTACAACCTCATAAGCCCTGCAAACGCAAGGCCTCAAAAAATTGGGTAAAAACTCAGAATTGTTCCTCTCCACGGAAATCTTTAGTAAAAGGCGAAAGATTTATACGATCTGAAGAGAAACCAGAGTATGTTTTGTTACTTCCCTCACTCAGTTCTCGGGTAACGGGCACTCCTAGATCAGCAATAGTAACTATTCCCATGAAAGAGTTAATAGCTTCTGCCTTTAGTTCAGAAACACTCTGAAAACAGTCTCATGTTTCTGACGTTTAGTGGGTAAAAAAAAGGAACGAAAAAAGAATAATCTAGCCATTTTAGAGTAAGAAATATCTTGTGAGCGATGCATTGTGGGTATGTAAATGAGATGAGTCACCCACTCCCGGTTTCCGGAAATACCTTAAATAGTTCTTTAGTTTTCCCGCTTAGCCACCAACAGAGGGCAGAGCAGAGGCCGGGATTGGGAGGGATACAGAAGCCTGATCCAACCAGCAAGTCTTTTATATATAGAATTACAAGTTAGAATTTTTCTTGAATTAAAAAAAAATAAAGTTGAATTTTAAAAAAGGCTTCAAATGAATTGTCTTCGTACATTCATTCAACAAAAATTTATTGAGCACTATGTCAAACCCTATGCCTAGGAGGCAGGTAGGTGAGATGAGCACTAGTAATAGAATGTTCAGTGACACACGGGCGGAGTATTAAAAAATCCATAGAAGCAGGGCATTCTAGGCAGAGAGCACCATAAACAGTATGAGCAAGAGTGGTGAAGAGAGGTTAAGGGGTTAAGTGGCAGGAACCAGATTTTGATGGAGCTTCAATACCAAGCAAAGAGCTTGGATTTACTTTAAGAGCAACGGAGAGCCATTGAAAAGCTTCAGAGGAGAATAATATGATCTCATTGGTGTTTTAAAGCATCATCAGCATCACTTGGTGTTAAGAGTTGAATCGCATCCCCCCAAAATGGTATGTTGAAGTCCTAACCCTTGGTACCTCAGAATGTGACCTTTATTAGATGGGACAAGGGTCCCATCTAATAAAGGGTCTGAGCAGCTCTTACTAAATGCTATTTTCTTTCTTTCTTTTTTTAAAATCCTCACCCAAGGATTTTTTTTTTCATTGCTTTTATTGAGAAAGTAAGGGAGAGTGAGAAACATCATATACACCCAAAACAGGGAATGAACCTGCAATCTTTTGGATGCCATTCCAACCAACTGAGCCACAGTGGCAAGGGATAAATACTACTGTTACGAAACGTTAAAATGTAGCATGGTATTTTATACATGCAGCTGTAAATAGGATGAGCTTGACAGGAACTCAACCTGATAAATGTAGGCAACTGCAAAGAAATCAACATGTAATTAACCAAACAGTGTATATAAGCAATGGCTAGGCCTCCCTTGGGCCTTGGATGTGAATTCCCAGCCTCCAGTTACTTGCTGCAAGTAAATAAAACTAACAATGACCAGGTTTTATTCTTGAATAGAACACCCCAAGTGGGTGAACCCCTTGAGCTCATTAACAACTTCATTTGGAAATAGGGTCATTGCAGATGTAATTAGTTAATGTGAGTCCTACAGAATGGAGACGATAAATTTCTGTAGTTTAAGCCACCAGTAGGGATCAGCATTGCTACTCCAAGAACACACAATTCTATCCCAGGAGAACAAGCTACACATTCTAACGCACGCCTGAAACATGCATATTTTCCTAAAGACAACCTAGTAGACAGGGATGTAATACTGCCCAAGGTGAGTGACTGTGGAGCCCCTTGGAGCACTAGCACAAGGGGCTTGGAGCCCCTTGGATGGATGAGTGTGTGGGGAGACCCACACACTCATCCATCCTTCATCTCTTTACTCAGTCCACAAATCTGCTTTGTTCCTGGCACTGGGCAGGCGCCTTCTGAGGCCAGCCAGGCATATTCTGGGGTGACATATCTCCTCCTCAGAAACAATTTAGGACACTGAGCAGTAAAGCCAGAGGGAAATAAATGGTAGGCTGGACCTGGAAATAGCCTGGATTTGCCTGACAAAAGAATGTAAAGTAAGAAGAGAAAAACTTCTAGGATAGGTCCCTAGAGAACAGAGGCCTAAAGGAGGAATGTAGCAGAGGCCTAAAGGAGGGGGGTAGCGAGGGGTGGGTGAAATTAGGAAGGTTGGAGAAAACCAGAAGTGTGAACAACACAGAAATCAAGAGCAAAGAAGTTTCAAGAAGGAAGGAGTAGTGAGTACTTTCAAAAGTCTGACCCAGAGACCTCCAGCCAAGATGGATGCATAGGTAGACACACTGCTTCCTCACACAACCAAAATAAGGACAACAATTTAGAAACAAAATAACGAGAACTGCCAGAAAATTGAACTGTATGGAAGTCTGACAACCAAGGAGTTAAAATAGACACATTCATCCAGACCAGTAGGAATGGCGGAGTCAGGCAGCCGGGCGGAGAGGGGTTGCAGCACAAAAAGCAGTGGCCCTGGGCACATTAGGCATCCCAGGAGCGCAAGACTGCAGTAAGCGGACCCTGGGCGCGCAGGCGGCGGCTGGCAGACTCCAGGCGCTGGGTGGCAATGGGCAGACCCAGTGAGGCGGCAATTGTGAAGCAAGACACTGCGCACAAGGCAGCTGGCTGACCAGGCAGTCCCACATTCGTGCGCAGATAAACCAGGTGAAACTAGGGATCGAGACAGACCGCACAACCCAGGGTCCCAGCACTGGGAAATAGAGCCTCAAGACACCAATTGGGGACACCTGTGGGGATTGAGGCGCAGGGAGAGACTCCCAGCCTCACAGGAGAGTTTGTTGGAGAGACCCACAAGGTCCTAGAATGCATACAAACCCACCCATACAGGAATTAGCACCAGAAGGGTCCAATTTGCTGGGGAGGGAAGCGGCAGAAGGGACTGAAATCCAGCAGGGAGTGGAGCAAGCAAACATTGTTTCCTCTCATACCCTGCCCCCACACACAGTATCACAACCCAGGGACTGAGTTAACCCACCCTGGTGAACACTTAA